GCCCGCCGTGCTCTGGCTGAAAGACGGCCTGGAGCTGCAGACCGCTGACGGCAGGTACGACGTCACTATCGACGAGACGGAGCGCGCCGATGGGGCGTTCGCCGTGCGCTCGACGCTCAACTTCCGCGGCTGGGCGCGTCGGGAGGATCATCTGACGGCCGCCGACCGCGGCAACTACACGTGTCGCTTCGAGAACGCGGCCGGCGCCGCCGAGTCGACCATGCTGCTGCGTGTCAGACGTGAGTAACAAGCCGCACACCGGGGGTGGTGGCCGTGGGACTGGCACCAGACGGTCCGATCGACAACCCATTCATAACAGGTCATACTGTGTTTCATTCCGTGATAGTAGCTATGATTTCCTCGCCTATCCGTCATGATGTGCGGCTGCCGCTGGTCGTTCTGCCCGGTGGTCTCCAGCGCCAAGTGTGTCTGGCCGTGTGTGGCCCCGTGTCTGAGCTGACCACTCTCTCCTCCAACAGACGCGCCCATCGTCTACCACCGGTACAACAAGGCGGCGTTCGACGTGGGCCAGGAGGCGGCGCTCGTCTGTCAGATGCAGGCGTTCCCGGCGCCCGAGTTCCGCTGGTGGCGCCGTGCTGCCGGCGAGCTCGCCCCTATGGCCGGCGTCACCTCGACGCCACTCGGAAACGACGTGCATCAGTCGGAGCTGCGACTCCCGGCCGTCTCCACCGCCGACTACGGCGAGTATGTGTGTCAGGCGCAGAACGGCGAGGGCGAGCACAGCACCGTGCTGCGTCTGCAGGCGCGCGGCCGGCCCGAGGCGCCGACCGACGTGCGCGCGGCGGAGCTCGGCACCTCGTGGGCGCTGCTCGACTGGACGCCCGGCTTCGACGGCGGGTTCGCCGACACGATCCACCACGTGACGCTGCGGGACGAGCGCGACCGGGAGCGGGCTGTGGACTGCCAGAGCCGGCGGCCGTGTAATGTGACGCTGCTGCAGCACCACAGCACGTACAGAGTGCGCGTGAGTAGCGGGTTCCGCCGCCGCCGGGCGCGCGGATGAGGGGAGCACTTCAGAGCCGACCGGGCACACGTCCCCATTGCTGTTGTCAATCTCATGATGCAGCTACAAAGCTTAGCTTTGGACATTGATGATTCAATGCAGCTCTCTTTATGCATGAGCGAAACTAATCGTAGTTGCGCTGGCCCCTATTACGTCAAACCCGTGATTATTTAAAGTCACTCAGCTCTGTCGTCACCCAAGATTAGTTACTTGGTAACCTAGTTAACTCGATTTAGGTCTGACACCCTAGCACGCATCGCCCTTTTCCTGTCCCTGTGGCCCTCTCTCCTGCCTCCTGTAACCCTCTCTCCTCTACCACAGGTGCGCGCTACTAACCGCGAGGGCGACTCGGCGCCGTCAGAGCAGTCGCAGTTCACCACGCTACTGGACGGCTCGCAGCTACCCACACCGCAGCGGGCGCGGTTCGCTGCTGACGCTAGGCAGATCAGCTTCCACGTGCTCACCTCCCAGCTGGATGTGCTGGGCATGCTGGACGTCAGGTAGGACGACAGGGTGGACAGGAGGGTGGATGACGGGAAGGTGTGGATGGTATAGTAGGTATCGAGGAATGGAATTGTACGTTGAATAGATCGGAAGTTAGGAGGTTGGATATCAGTTAGGACAGAATACTTTTTGGATGGTTCGGGCGCTGGCAGACGAGCCTGGGTGGTTTTAAAAACGAAATCATAACTTTTTGCTGCTAAGGAAACCATGTGAACGTGCCGTTATATACCTTACCTGATCCCATCTGTCAGTGCGAAAACCATCTTCAGTAGTTTGTGCGATTTGTACACACGACTGTCTCGCCTGTGCTGTAGCTTACCCTTGTCGCCTGTTATAACCTGTGACACCCTGTGATACCGTATGACACCGTGCACCAATTCTGTGACGCCGTATGACACCGTGTGCCAATCTGTGACGCCGTGTGACACCCGCCAGGTCGGAGGAGGAGGGCGAGTGGCGCCGGGCCGACCAGCACGTGACCATTGCCAATAACCGCGGACTGGTCCGACTGGACGACGGCCTGGGCCCCGTGAGCGGCGTCCGTGTGCGCCTCTGTCTGCGAGAGGAGCCCACTGTCTGCGGCCAGACGGTGGAGGCCGAGAATGGTAAGGACGGACGGCCAGCTGCGGCTGGGTGGCAGCAGGCGGGGGCCGGGTGGTTGCGACTGTGTGACAGAGGCTGGGTGATAGGAGCTGGGTGGCAGCAGCTCAGTGACAGCGACTGAGTGCCTTGCCGCACGCACTATTCGGAATCGGTGCGGCATAGTGGTCAGAATACTTTGGGTGGATGGATGGAGCACGGTCGTCCGCTTAACTACTGACCCGCCCCTTTCTCGTCGCGCATTTGTCTCAGTGTCCTCACTTTACCGTGTCCGTGTTATTCACGACTCCTTACCAATCCATGCCGTGTATTCCAGTGTCTTTACCGCTGTTTTACCTTTTTCAGTGCCGGCCGGCGCGCTGCTGTCTGCGGCCGGCGGCAGTCAGGTGACCACCATCATCCTGGCCTCCGTGGCGGCCACGGCCGGCGTGGCGCTGCTCGTACTGCTCTTCATCTGCTGCTGCCGACGGTCCTCAGGACGGTCCACGGCCTCCTCGGCAGCGGCGGCACGAGCCAAGGCGGCCGCCGCCTACACAGACGACCCCTAGTGAGTGTCCGACGGGACCGGGGACTCGGGGACAGTGGGATCGAGCAGAGTCGAGGCATGGGCGCGGGGTAGGCCTAATGTCTCTGTGACCTGGATAGTATGTAGTCTGTGGGTGTATTGGTGCCTCCTGTTCTGTTGTTGTGATTAGCTCAGCGGTCTGTCGAGAGGCTTTACTTAATGACCGATGCCAACCAGCTCAGTGTAGGTGTGTCTAGCCGCTACTATGATTTCGCTACACGCGGTTCGGCTGTATCTGTCCGACCGCATCCCCTTCATGTGAGGTGTCTGTGTGTCTGTCTGCTGGTCGCTGTGAGGTGTCTGTGACTGCTGGTGCCGCCTCTAACCCCCTATCCCGCCGCCAGCAGCCGTCATAAAGTATCGGCCGGCGCGCCGCCGCACCCCTACCTCTCCGCGGGCCGGTTGGAGGGTCTGCCGGTCGGCGGTCCGCCCCGGCCTGTCCTCTACGAGTCGAGTCACTCCAACAGTGGCTCGGCCGGGGGCGGCTCGGCGCACTCTCAGGACTCGCTGTGGCAGGCCACGGAGCCGGGGATCGGACCCGTCGAGCCGGCCGGCCGCTACCCGCCGTCTTACGGCGACTACGGCGCCGCCTACCGGGAGCTGCAGGAGGCTGTGTACCGGCCCGCCGAGCCGACACATGGTGAGTGGGCCTGGCTTCTCCCCCCCCCCCCACTTCATGGTGTTGCCAGACTGGTGAATCGTCCGGTCGCCCTGCAGTATCAGGCAGCCCGACAGACACCCGCTCTCGAGTGGATTTCTCTGTATCCAACCCAGGCCTGACATCTCCTTCAGCAACAGACTTTAACTAACTAGCTGAACAATGAATTGCCTAGACTAGCCGGCAGTTACTGACCGGCTGACTGTGACCTCGACTTCTGTGCAGCTGACCTCTGTCCCGTCCCGCAGAGGTGGGCCTGACCCGCGTGTCGGGCATGCCTGACCCGTACGGCGGCCGTGCAGAGGCCGACGGAGTGCCGCAGCCGCCCTCCTTCGACGAGTCGCTGGAGAGCGGCCTCTCGACCCCCAGCTCCAGGCCCCGGCGGGTCATACGGGAAATCATAGTGTAGTGGTAGCGCGACAGATGGCAGCAGCGCACCGCTGCGGTCGGCGGGACAACTGAGAGGGCCATACTCAGCTACCGGGAGCCCCGAGCAGAGCTCATTGTGATATTGTTTTACCGCTCAAAGTCGAGACCTGACCAGATCACTTGTTATGTTTTACGATGGGGAGTGTTTGTAATGTTATTGTGCCTTTGATAATGTGACATTGTAAGCACGTTAGAAGATGTGACGAGTGTGATCACGCTGACCGGTTAGCTCACGCTCGGAGCGAGAACAAGTGCGACGAAAGTGTTTAGCCCCGATCTTGACCTGTGGTGTTTGGCGCCTAAGCCTTGATGGGTCGCATTGGTGTTAAGTATTGCTTTTGTGTTCTGCTTGCAGTATTATATTCGATGCGTTGGTTTTGCAATGCCACTCGACTTCATATGTATATATGCTCATTAGTCTATGTGTGTGGCATGAATGTTTCCTTGAATCTCTCGCTTAAAATTCAAGTTTCCTTTGACGGTCTTGTAACTTTTAACTTGTAATTTTCGTATGCCATTTTCATAATTGTCTCGCGCATTTCTTTAAGCTATTTTCTCTAGATGTTATGTCTACATCGCTGAGCCATTTGCTCATCAGTATTTAAAGCCCACTATTTAATTACATCAACTCGTTCCGTTTAATGCATGTAAGGAACTCATCCTCATGCCTTACCTTTGTGTCACCTAATCTGGATTTGAAGTTGTGTCTGTGTTGTTAGCACGTATGGTTGATTTGTCGGTTTGTGTGGCAGCGTACCGTGCCGTGATGTGTAGAGCCGGGCCTCATCGGTTTCGGTTGTCATTTGGACTGGACAGAGCCGTGCTAGCCAAGTCGCAAGGGTCGCAAGAAACTCTGAATACATTTTAATGATAGACATTCGCCGGGACTTTCAAATCAGATTACGAGTTGGACTTAACCGACTTAACTATCCAATGTAGACATTCGCTTTCAAATCAGATTGCCTGTTGGACTAAACTATCCAATATTAAATACTAATTCGACATGTGATTACGTAGTACGTACGGAGCTGATAGGACGCTCCGAGACCAAGATGCACTCTGATGTCCCGAAGAGGCAGTTTTTTCCCAAAACCTTACGGTTTAGAGAGTTCGATGTGCCCTGTCCTTGGCACACAGTGCGCGAATTTTGAATTACTGGACACCTTACATCAGACCTGAACCTCCAGCAGGACTGTTGGAAATGGGATAAAAGAAACAAATGACGTCGGCAGTCTCTTTATTCTCGTTAGCAGTCCTAAGATGAAGGAGAATCGATTGTCTCAAGGAGAGCGAAGTAGACAATCTTTCATAGTTATGTTTGTGCATTGCATACAAATATACTTATCTAAAAATACGAGATAAAATGTGTCAACTATCAAAACGTATGCATAAGGCACATTATAACAACTTGTCATGCATAATGTACAGCATAGCAACTTGTCTATCATTCACCACGTCACACCTTGTACCTTTGCATCTCCAGTGGTTTCCTCGGTGAGCTAGGCGAGCAGCTCCCTCACGGCTCACGTATTTACGATAGGTATGTAAGCTTCGGGGAAAATTGTTTTCAATCCAAGGCTGTCCCAGGGGTCGCCTGGCTAAGCTGTCACATTCTCACAGCGACCTTCCTGAAAGGAAGACACTAAGTGTGCGTACGTACGCTCATACGCGCCGTACGCACACATACAAAGCGAGTTTGATTGAGCTGAGACAGAAATGTCTGCATATCCTCTCTATACATCGTTTGAGTCGGAGCCGTATACTGGCTGGGTCACAAGGAGTTCGTCTTCGCCAGGCTCAGAGCACGTCACAACCGCGTGTTCTCGGTCTGGAAGGTAACCACGGCCGGTGAGTGGGCGGTGGTCCGGCGCCGGCGGGGTCTCCGGGTCGGGGCCGCTCCGGCCGGTCGCCGAGGACTGTGCCGCGCCGCCGCCGCCACCCGCATCAGGCGCAGCAGGTCAGCCACACTGGTGGTGGCGCGGCGCCGGCGCCGGCTCGGCGGTGGGCCGCGGGGTGCTCGCTCCGGCCACACGCCCGGCAGCAGGCTGGGCCGGTTCTGCCAGGCGTGCTGCAGTCGCCGGAGGAAGCCGGCGTCGGCCGATGGCTCCCCATCCCCCGCCGCCGGAGGATCCGGGCTCCACTGCGCCTCCTCCCCGCCGCCACCGTCATCGACGTCCTCAGCGACGCCACCGCCATCAGCAGCATCGTCGCAAACGACTTGACCGCTGCCTTCGGAGCTGACGTCCCACTCGAGCGTCACCTTGGCTTGGAGTAGTAACTCAAGAGCGGAGTCGACTGAGGGCACCTGGCTGGCGGGCGCCGGCTCCGCGTCGGGGCCCGGCTCCGGCCGCTGCTCGACCACCGCGGCCAGCACGGCGGCCAGGTCGGTGGCCGACCCGGCGGACAGCGGGGCGGCGGCCAGCGGCGCGCTGTCGCCGGCACCGCCCCCCTCGCCCAGCGGCACCTCGCTCAGCGACCCGGTCCGCCGCAGAGGTGCCGGCGGCTCGGCAGCGACGTCCTCCGGCGCGTCCCCGCCGCCTGCCGCCAGGTTCGGGAAACTCTGAGTCCGAGCCACGCCGCGAGGTGGCACCGCATTCTGAAACAATGGGGTTTGTTCCTCAAAACCAGCCTCACGGGGGTCCGCTGTTGGTGCAACAAACAACAAACTGAAGCAAAGGAGGTGGCCCGCTGAGTCTCGCCACCATGGAGGAACACTCATATAAGTCACGTAGGAATGGATAAGCGTGAACAATCGAGCATGTACCTACTGCTTGGGGGAGAATGCTTAGTACCTTTCTTACCTACATTTAGGTACGACTTCGGTACGCACAGCGACACACCGTTCCGTGCTTCTATCCTCAGGATGCTGAAATCCTTCTCCTCCACGCCGAAACCCCCCTCCGGAATGGACAGGCAACTTTATCTCATGCGGGCTGCTCCCTTGGAGGCTGGAGCGGTACCGCTGCTCCCGAGGGAGCGCACCCCGTAGCCGGGTGCAGTGAGTGCCTTGGGGCTGGGTGGCCTGTCCTGGACGGGCTCAGCCCCGGCGACTCACTAGAGTGCCTGCCCAAGTTAAAATATTTATCAAAGAAGTTTTATCACACATAAAGCAAAGATATAACAAAGCTATATACGTTAACATAACAAACTGGTTCTTTCTTAACGATATGCAAAGCATAGATATCATTGTCATAACAGTTTGTAAATACGTCGTACACAGGGCCCGATTGAATAAAAGCACCCCTTCTCTCAATTTCATGCTAAATACGCTGAAGATGGAAGCGCAAAAAGAATACAATCGATATAAGTCAAAGGACAAACTGAACGAATTTCAGACAAAGTGGGGAACACTCGCACAAATTCTGCAAAGCAACTAATTGAGAAAACAAGGTCGCCGCGGCATCCCCGGAGCTTCCGGCCCACGCACCCACGCACACACACGCACGCACCTATACACACACACACAAATGCAAACACACACCCACACCCACACCCACCCACACACACACACACCTATACACACAACACAAACATCACACACAAACACATACTCTCACATGCCCGCTTTCTCTAAGAAACGCCTCTGTTGCATAGCGTGTCCCGCCCGCCCCTAACCCAACCCGGCTAACCGGAGGCCGGCCCTATTAAGGGTCGGCCGGCCGGCCGGGCGCGCGGCTCGCCACCCTATCAGGGTGACGGGTCGCGGGCCCGGCCGGCGGCCTGGGGCATCGCCCCAGCGAGAACGAGTACATGTGGGATTCGCGGGGCGATGCGGGGCGGGGCGATTTTTGTGAACGTTTGGTGCGCTCGCATTGTGACATGCCCAATATGTGCAAGCATCCATATACATGAGTGACATGTGATTCACGATGTACGTGTACCTATACATCATATGTGCGTATATGAACGAAAAAAAAAAAAAAAAAAAAAAAAAAAGAGTGCCTGCCCAGACCAATGTCTCCCCCTATATCCTAACATCCTCCCGGCTCTGAAATGGTCTAATTGGACCGAAAGGGCCTAACCCAACAAAACAAACAAACGCACAGCGAAACTCGATAAAATAGACTTCCACCGAAATATTTTTGGGTCCGAAATACCGGGCCCAAATACAGAACCCTGTGGTGGCCCGTAAGCAAAAAAAAAAAACAAATACCAAATATTTTTGGACTTTGCCCTAACCTCGCGTCGGGCCGGTGCTCGGCGCCAACCGCGCAGGGCTCCGTCTCTAACTCGACTCTTGGGCCACGTAGCGACAAGCGTAAGCGGCATTTGAGACAGTGTCGAAAATCTTGATGAAAATATTTGTCATTTTTTACGTCAGGTTGAAGGTCAGGTCACCAGGGATCATCAAAAGGTCACATTTCGCCTATTTCAACATTTTTCGACGAATCGGCGCACAACTCGGAACCAATAATACCTATAGCTACAGCGCCGAGGAAAAGTGCATTCGATGGCTTAATCTGACGCTCTTTCTGGTTCAAACTGTCAGATGTGAGCTAGGCTGAAAGTGTTAGCCTTGAGGACAAAAACTTCAAAAATAGCTGTTTAAAAAAAGTTTTATTTAATTACTTCTGACTGAGGAAAGTTACGACGTTTATGTTGCCGGTATCATGCTCCTCTCATCGAGACGCGTTGAATGAGCTATAATTTGACTTTGTAAGGTCATTCTGAAAAATATGACCCAAGGCCAAGGTCATTAACCCTCGCCGGCACAGGGGGGGGGGGGGTTAATGACCTCGCCGGCACAGGCTGATGCAACCCCCTAAGGTTTTTCGCGAATAACTCGCGTAAAAAGCGGCCGATCGCGACGAAACTTTCAGTACCCTCGCATTGATCAATTTTACGCCTACCCTGAAAATTTCATGACCCTGACCCAAATGACCTTTGACCTGTGACCTCTTTTCCGAGACCATGTTTAGTCGGAATCGCGATTCGGCGTATGTCGGCTCGCATTAGCCGCGCGTTTGCAAGCTTTTCGTGGTTTCAAACGTTCAAACAAGTGACTTGATGTTGCTCCCATACATTAGGGTGGGTATCAAGGTCACCTGAAGGTCAGGTCAGGTCATTGACCTTTGGTGACCTCGGGTGACCTCGGTTCACTTTTTCGAGTTTTACATGTTTCTAGGCTAGTTTTTGGAGCTGAATTCGAATTTAGCAACCATTTGAACATTTACGAAGTAGTTTTGGTGCCTTCGTAACATGTTACGAAGCTGTCAGAGGCGGTTGACACGTATTACGAATACCCGTCACAACCCCTACCGGTTGACCTGACCTGACCTGACCCGACCTGGTATAAATGCTTAAAGACATCATCTCTGATCAAAACTAACACGATATTCGTGACAAGCACCCCTGAAAACCACATAGCAGCCACACTTTACGACTTTCTAACGGGTCCCGATTTTCCCGGTTTTCGGGTCATTGACCTGACCTGGAAGGTCACCCGATGACCTAGGACCTTAAAATTGGGTATCATCGGCTTCCTCTCGTGACGGGCAACACGCTCGTTTTTTTTCCGTGAAGCTCTAGCTCGATCAGGGGCCAAACGCGAGGGGGGGGGTTCGTACCCCCCCCCCCCCTTGTGCCGTCGAAGGACGCAAAATGGCCTGTGCCGGCGAGGGTTAACTGACCGGACAAGGTAATGCTGTATACCAGCCGATAGAGCCATGATCTTGAGAAGTTACTGACAGAGTTTCGAAAATCAAACGGCGTTCGATGGCTCCAGAGGGGAACTACCATATGACCCAATTTAATTTGACCTAGGTTTAACCGATGACGCCACAAGTCAAATCAAATTTCGTGTTTTCGACCGTTTACAGGCCTACTAAGAAATATAACACAGAGTAAAAGGTACCTATGCTATCGAAAATTATCGATAGAGCATTGTATGTCAAATGCTATTTTGCTAAGTGAAGTACCTAACTGATACCAGCCAGCCGCCAGGCCATGTCACAGAGCTCAGGCAAAGGGTTAAATGAATCCCATCATACAGGGCCGTATGTTTTCTGAATGGTCAGTTTTACATTTCAATTTCAATTATGTGGCTTAGGCGACATTGGGGACAGTTAATAATTTTTGCATTACGGTCTGGCTGGTGAATGTCAGGTCAAGGGCAGGTCAAAAATGTCAAATTACAATTTGTTGCAGCTTGTCACGAGGAATCCAGTGGTGGTCTTAGTTTTAAGTAGGTACTCTACGTGGTCTAGATCTGCTTAAAATGAGTTCAAAAATTTTGAAGCCATCATAGGTATAGGTATTTGAGCTTTTTCGCCAAAATTAAACAAAAATGGAGTTTTCGATCTCCAATTCGGTATGGCGATAGCTAGCCTAATGTTCCATGCCGTATATTCCGTTTTTTCTCGATATTCTGGGATACGAACCTGCCATTTCAGTTCAAAACTCAAAATAAAAAGGGGAATATTTCTTAAACGGCTCACCCGTCATTGGAATAGTCCGCCAATGACGTGGTTAGGACGCCATTACTATAGTGATGTCAATTACGGAAAATCTCGATACTGATACCAAACCAAATACCAACAATAACCACGGAAGAATACCGACACTAGAGGTCTGCACCGGCCGGCTGCAGCCGCGGCTGGCTGCAGCCCCACGGCTGTGGGCCGGGGCGGCTGCAAATATCTCCAAGAACACGGCTACGGCTATGGCCACGGCTGTGAGATTTCAAGCTCAATCTTAAGTACTCAAATATAAAATTTTAAATCCTTAATCTTACATTCTGATAAGCAGTCTAGCCTGTAAAAATCATGCAAAGGATGCCCAGCAACATTGAAAGTGGTGAAGCCTTTGAAAACCTGTAATGGTTTTACCATTTGCTGTAGGGGAGTTTGCACTCTGGTACAGAATACTAATTATAGGTAGGTACCAATTGTTCCTTCATCATCAAGAGATTGACAGTTTCAGAAAATGCAACATGTTATGTTGCATTGTCACATCCCTCTCAAATCAATCTCACCTGGTCATTAGGAGAGCACCTTACAGCTATTGAAGACGAGCATTCAATAATTCTTTCAGGTAAGAGAAAAAGAAATCACGCCTAGGTAAAGGCAGGTAAAGGCTTCATAAAATATTATCTAAAATAACTCTTAGATGTATTTCTGGATTTTCGGCAAGTCCAATTACATAATATAAAACTGGCGCTTTATGTTCTAACTGGTGTGTGAGTGACCGCTAACAGAAAATGCTGATCGACGAAGCCAATGGAATTAGATTATAAGTGAGCATGAACCTTACTTACGGTTAATTCACATGATGGTGAAAACCCTGAACACGTAATTCACATTACGGTGAAAACCCTGAACACAATATTTCTTACGCGAGCTGTTGACTTTACCAATAAAATGACGTCTTCTTCTGAAAATGTAAAAATTTGATACTAATCCTTTGTCTGAGAACGAGTTTTTAAATGTATAGCATTATTATTCATTTAGTATAATTTTTAAGGGTTTTTGTAGTGACACAAAACAATTTATTGCCACTTCTTTGTTATTAACGTCATGAAAAACTCAAGTAAAATTTTTCATTGGAAGAGGCAATTGTGGCTCGCACGTCCTTGGGGATTTGAGCGAAGATCATTATTTGGAAAAATCAAAATAGATGAATGTTTTTCTTTCTTGGTTGGATGCTCACTAGTGTTTTGATGCCTTGCATATCAAATTAGTTTGAGACTTGCTCAGAAGGCTGCTGCAAGCCTGGCATATCACACCCCAGAAAATATGCAAGGTTGAGGTAAGAAAGAAGCAAGAGTTTTGACTAGACAATCACTGTTTGACAGTCCATCAACTTCAGTTTCATTTTCCATACCTACCTAACATTGATTGATAATGAAAAGCATCAGGGTCTGTTTTTCTGTCCCACAACCATGCTTCAGGATTTGGCATTAGATGTCTACACTGCTATGTGTAGGCATGCGTTGCGCATCAGGCTTCAGGCCTTCGGCCTAAAGCCATATACACAACCACTTAACCTATGATGCTTCATGAGCTTGAGAATCTACAGCCCATTGCAATGTGCTTTTGGCTATATGTTTCAACTAAAAACAACTTATTATATACTATTTGGTTGCATTTTATTGAAAGTATCCACGGCTGGCTGACGGCTGGCTGCCCACAGTTTGCCACGGCTGTGGGCGGCTGTGGCTGTGGAGCCACGGCTGCGGGGCGGCTAGGCTGTGGAAAATTGCAGCCGTGCAGAACTCTAACCGACACCGAACCAACTTGGTAAACTTAGGAAAATACCAACTTTTTACCAAATTCAAAGCCTCTTTTACATTAGGGATGATTCACAATACCAACAAAATACCAAATGCATTAGCCTTGAACTACCAAATACCTACCAAGTTGGCATCGGTTTGGTATCGGTACAGGTACCAAAAAACTTGGTATCTGATTGACATCTCTAGCCATTAGGTACCATACCAAACACGATGCGAAAATCACAGCTCTTTATTTATTTGTACAAAAAAAAAACGAACTCCAAATTAGAGCATTTGACCTAACCTTAGAGGATAAAGGTTGCGCTAAGACTTTAAATTGGCTCCCAGTCGCTGTGCCTCGTAACGGCGCAGCGTTCGTTATGCCCAAGGCTATATAAACCAGGTAGAACGTTCCCGACGAAAAAGTGATGACAAGCGATAATTAGTAGCCGCGACCCTCACTTGTTCAAAACTATATCCGCAAGCAGCATTTACAGGCTAGCGGAAATCGACCAATCGGCGTTCGGCAATACTCGACGCTGATTGGTCCGATGCTCGTGACGAAATTGCGGGGGACTGTAGCTATTCCCCTATGGCGTTTAATAGACTTACGGCTTTTGAAGGGGATTTATACCAGTTTTTGTTGGGTTTGAGGCCACTTTTGAGCTTGGATCTTCTTTCTGTGACTTTTGACTGTGTAATAACGACATTTAATCATAACATTTCTATATACTACCGGTGTCACATCGGCCAAAAAGACCGTAAGTACATGGGATAGACGGACCACTGCTGATGGGGCCACACATGTCGGCGTGTGATCATCGGAGGTCCATGAGGGCTCGACATAGGCCCTTCATGGGTCGGTATAGGCCCGGTGGGTCCAGTGCAAGCCTATCAGGGGCCGGTGCTGACCCAACAGGGCCCAGTGGAATATAATGTAAGGCTGTCTAGGGACGTTGAGGGCTCATGGAGGCCATATAGGACCAATAGGGACCACATAAGTCAATCAGGGGCCATTTAGGCCAATAAAGGCACTTCAGGGGACTTGAAAAGGTCATTCAAGAGCTGTGGTGGGCCCATGAGGGGACGGCATTGGTCCAGCAGGTGCAGTCAGGGGATGTTGTACGGGTTTCTCAGTGGCCCATTTGGGCATATCAGTGACCAATTTGGACCCAGCAGGGGGCTTTGTAGACCTATCAGGGGCTGGTGATGGTTCATCAGGGGCCAGCGTTAGCCCATCGGGGCACGACATATGCCCATCAGAGGTAATTGCGAGCCCACGCTGAACAATGATGGCCCTTCAACGGCCCCTAATGGATCTACATTGACCCATGGGCCATGATGTGTCATGTATGCCCCTATGACAGGCCTACTCAGACCCCTGATGGACATTCCCGGCCTCTGATGACCCTATACTGAATGCTGATGGGGCTCTAAGTTTCTCCAATAACCCTTCGTCAACCCATTATTACCATACGCTGGCACTAGGGGCCCCACATCAGCCGCACGGCAGTCCGTGCCATGACAGCATGTCTTTTCGGCCGATATTACATCGGTAATATTGATTAAAATCATGATTTTATGGTGTCATTATATAGCTAACAGTCATAAGAAATATATTTCAACTCGAAAACAGCTCCAAACAGCATATAATTTTAAAGAAACTCCTCCGAAATCCAAAAGCCTATTCGGGTCCATAGAGAATAACTGCGGTCCCCCGCAATTTCGTCACGAGCGTCGGACCAATCAGCGTCGAGTACTGCCGAGCGCTGATTGGTGAATTTTCCGCTAGCGTGTAAGTACTGCTCGCGGAACAACAGTTCGTCGACAATCCTCCACAAACGTCTGTCACCATTTTTTTGTAATGCTCAACAGCCGGAGCGTACCCCCCTGGTTAGGGGAGAGTGGGGTGGGTTGTATCAGTTTTTACTCCGAGACCCATAACCTCGTAACTATCCGTGATAAACTCATTATTTCCATACTATCTCCTCCCTTGATTCTTCTGCTTTTTTGTGCAAAGTAACTTTTCCGCTACCTCTACTAGTTTTTCTTCTACGGTCTGCCGAATAGGACAATGTTTTTGATACAACTTGCCCCATGGCTTGGGTGAGTTGTATCACATGGTGGGGTTATTTGTATCACTATTTCACGTTTCAGGGAGTGTGCTTGCTACTGGTTTTGAACATAACAACAACATTAAATGGGGTTAATTAATGCAATGTATATGCTCAAAGGCTTCACTTTTATTAGACCAAACTTAGGTCAATCCGAACGAAACATCGAAACGAACGAAACATCAACAGACTAGACGCAAAAGTGACCCGTTAAAAAGCAGCCAACACATTGTGCCGAAATGGAACGAGTATTGACTAGCTCCCTACAATCGCGAGCCAGGGCTTAACTTTCGCGATCAAAAGCAACATACCCATACATACATACATACATACATGTTACAACATACCCCACCCGGCTCTGATACAACATGTACCTCGCCGCCATCTTGGAAAAAACATCCTCGTGCTCAAAAACAGCGGACAGCTGGAGAATTCCATTTTCACTCACGCAGCCTTAGAACCTACCCTCACCACCGCTACGGAGATCTTTCAAATTCGTGCACATATAAATGCCCAAAACACACATTTTCCTGCAACTTATTTTTTTTAGAATGACATTAAAAAAAACATAAAATCGGCTCTCACCTTGAGACGCGTCCACCCAGCCACACGACAGAACAGGGAAAGATGGCGCCCGGAAAACCTCGTCGGCTGGTCGTGTCACGAGCGCTATCTATTGGATAAGTTTGGCACAATTCGCCCTGATACAACTTGGACATGATACAACTCACCCCGCTCTCCCCTATGCCCTCAGTCAGCGGCGAAAAGACGTAGGGAGGGGGAGTCGTATCCCTCCACTCGGCGGCCGTATGGGGCGTCTCGTAAAGAAAACCGATGAGTCCGGCGAGGGTGAGAGATATTTATCAAGACCCGATCTTAGGTGACCCAGAGATGAAGTACTCACATCATGTGTACGTAAATGATACGGTGTACTAAAAACGCGGAGTTATTCAAGAAAACCCTTATTGGGAATCTACCCCAGGAGTAAGAACCCGTGTTTAACCATTTTTACTTACCACTCTCCGATCCATTGCGAGCTCGTTTAAAAGCTTCTTAAACAGTACAACTTCTTTGGATATATTCTTTTGGAATGTCTGTTTTGTTCTTGAAATGCCTTTCACAAGCTTCTTCTCGAGACTCTGCGGAAAAACAAGCGTGAGTTAGTATTTCTTCATTAATAAAATAAGTATTGATCCTGTACCTATATACCTAAATAGGTGCTTCAAGAATCAAGCTTAGGGAGATTTGGCATATGCGGGGTAAAATGGACAATTACGTGGTAAGACGAACCACTGCACTGGTCCATTTTGCCGAAAAGCTAAATTTTGGATACATGACGACGAAGGTTCTAAACAGCCCGATATTGCGAAAACTGCCTGTCCTGAGTCGTGACTCTAACATTGTTCTTACCGTTATGTATAAAGAAAAAGATAGATAATGATGTAAAAAACGCGTCGAAATTGAACCATTCTTCGCTATTTATGCAATGAAAAACAACAGTTTACTCAATAACTCAAAAGCCGTACGTCCCAGAGGCGGATCCAGCTCAGAGGTTTGGGGGGGGGGGGGCAAACCATAAAAATTTATCGATTCTTTCCATGCATCGTCCATAGGCGTAATGTTAAAATCATGCCGTTTGGGGGGGGGGGCAAATGCCCATTTTGCCCCCCCCCCCCCCTGGATCCGCCACTGGTACGTCCTGCAGTCCTGTATAACCCAAGGTAGTGATGTCAATTTCAGAAAACGTATGTCCAATGTCCGTCCAATGTCCAATACTTACGTAGACTGTCCGTCCAAAAATGTCCAAGCCAGCCATTTGTCCAAAGATGTCCGACATCTACGCAATAGTTTACACTCAACACAGTTATCTAATTTGCTTTTAATCTATCGTTACCAGCTCAAAAGTGCAGGTAATCATATCGAAAGCTGAGCTTTCTGATCGCCAATCAATGTTAAACACCATTAGGTACTTTATAAAAAATGCTGAGGTGTAGCAAGCGATTGTCCAAAGTTGTCCAAAGCCTGCTGTCTATAACCCGGTTTACATAGCATACTTGACGAGGCTCTAGCTCGTTAATTTGGCGATAATTTCGATGCAGTGGTCTTCAAATATTTAGAGGGGATCATTTTGTAAATTTTTCAGCACCATTGGCATCTTTTGCAACATCACGGACGGAGATATAAGCTTGCAACAAACCCTATGTAAACGCATCTATTGTCAAACCGAATTCCGAATGGGACATTGGACAAAATCGGAATTCCGAAGATTCAAGTTCCGATTGACACCACTAACCCAAGGTAGTCATTGGCGCAAAGGAAAACAAAAGTAGTATACCTAGATGGTAAATACATAGATGATAGCAGAAGCGGTTCAGCCAGGAAGGCTGGTGGTCCCGGTCCGTCCTACCCTAATGCAAACCCATGTTATGTGGATGGATTTTAGATCAATACAATACAATGCACTGGGGTAGGCCCACTGCAGTGGGCCGTCCACTGAACTGGGCCGTCTTACACCCATGGTCTTACACCACCTCCCTTTAACTTGTTCTTTCCCTTGACTCGTGATTATATCAATAATTCGTGGCTAACCTGTGAACGCTGTGATCGGCCACATTTGATGCGAGATATTCGCGAAAAAAAAACACGGAAGCCCGCGCGATCCCCCTTCATTAGATGTAATCACGAGGTCACGACCTATGCTGTAATCGATATCATGGCCATGCATCCTGCGGTAATATCGATTCAACAATAACATCAATGCAACAGAGGCATCACCTGTGCGGCTTAATCACTAAAGCGTAGGAGCGTCAGAACGGTTTCCGTTGTCATGACAACCAGCGTGACTATTGATACCGCTCGAACACCAAAGCTGTTGGACCTTACGGGACGCTGGCTAGTAGGTTGTAGAGAAATTTGCTATTCGTGCCGTAAGTGAAGCTATATTACTTTGCATACGTACTAAAAACTAGTTTGTTAGATCCTTTAGAACAGGCGATAATCATGAGAGTAATGCGTCTTGTGTGTTGTGCATAGCGTCTTGTGTGTTGTGCACCTATGGCGCTTAAAAGGTCCCCGTTTGTGATGAGTGGTTTAACGGAACCGTGATAGTGCTTCAAGCTGTAAATTAATTAAGCGGTAAATTAATTTGAACTTACGCTGCAGTGATCACAATGGCCCAGTTATCAACGCATATGTTCAGCCAACTACCGGGCGTGAAGCAATCAGCTCTATTCGCTGAGAACAGGACAAAGTCAATGGAGGTAATGCATGGCTGTCCGATTGAAATTATGTGGATCGATGGTCCAATGGCCTCACCTGCCGTCTATATGGATGAAGCCACTGTGGCCTCGCTATGCGGCATGCACGTGCGTTTCACGTGCGCTGGAATGTCGCACAAAGATACTTTCTCTCCAAAAGCTCGAGGAGTATCAACGCTGGCTACCAACGGCAGTGACTTGTTCGCCGTCTCCGAGGTGTGTCTGCGACCGGCCGTCATCGTCTATCAGTACCCTGAACTGGTGGATCACGCACGCTTGGAAGACGGTGCCGAGCTCGAATACCTGTTCGTTGCATTTTCTCCATCTTCGGAACGTGTGGCCGCCTTTTCCGGGGTGCCTGACTTCACCGTCTTCCTTTGGGATATCAGCTCTCAGGTGATGATTGCCAAACTGCCTATAGGCTTTGCCCAGGCGCCCCAGCTCTCGTTCTGTGACTTGGATACACCGCACCTGGCGCTGACGTCTGAGGTAGGCGTCAATGTAATCCAGATGGAGCACTTCGGCAGCGAGTGGCGCCTGACGCCGCGCACCGCCAACCTGGACTCGGTGCGCTCCCACACGTGGGACTACAACGGCGACCTGTGCTGCTCCCGCCGCGAGCGGATCTACCTCGTGAGCCTGGACACCATGGAGCACGCTGAGCTTCAGCTCGTCAACGAATGGATCGCCGGCACCATCGTCAGCATCGTCTATAACGCGAAGGGCATTTTCGCCGCCATGGACGACGGACGTATCCTGCTGGTAGAGCGCTGCGGCGCTTCAGACACCTGGTCTTCACGTGTGATCGACGAGCTCGGCCTCTCCGTGCTGACCATGAGACCGTCCCCGAGCTTCAACTTCCTGGCCGTCACCTGTCGCACCGGCCAAGTGCTGCTTCTGTACACGCCGTCACACGACTACAAGGCACTGGAAGGCTACGAATTCGAGTCGCCTCCGGCCGTGGACGCGTGTCTGCTGGCGCCGCAGTTCGACCACGTGGTTTCCATTCACGCGCCACACGAGCTGCACGTGTGGACAGCCTCCCACGGCAAGCACCAGTCGTCGGTCCAGCTGACCGGCTGGGTGACCTGCATCGCCAGTCTGGACCAGGTGCCCTGTGTGATGGTCGGCACACAGGAGAGCTGCCTGGTGGTGATCGATCTCGTACTGCCACTGACGCCGCGGGTCATCTGGCACGCCCGGATCTGCGAGGCTGCCGTGAAGTCCATCACAGTGAGCGACAGCGGCAAGCTGGCGGTGGCACTGACGGCGGACGGCGCCGCCTACCTGCTGTCGGCGCTGGCCTCCGAGGGCCTGGGCGTGCTGACCCAGCTGGAGATGGATGGCACTCCGGTGGCGGTGCAGACCTACCAGCGCAGCGGCTGTGGCTGGCCCGAGGACGTGCTGGTCTTCCTATGCACCTCGAAAGCGGAGCTGCTGAGTCTCGTGCGTGTGATATTGGTGCGCGACAGGGAGGTGTTCGGCGCCGTGACCTACGGCCTGGATACCGTCTACACCGGCCTGGCATTGCACGTGACAGCGCCGCTCGACAGACACGACGACGGCGTCAACCCTTTGGTGAAGATCTTCACGATGGCCATCACAGATCGGTCCCTGTGCTCGTTCACACTGCGCGATCATGACGACCTTCTCGAACAGCAGGTCTCGGATTTGCTGTGGCGGCCTGAGGCTGCTGTTCCCAGCGGCCACGAGCTGCGTGACGTCCGTCTTCAGACAGTTGGTCAGTACCTGCTATCTGTGGGTGATGACGGACTGATCCGCGGCCGTTCCGACCGACTCGACCCGCAAGAGGCCAACACGCTTCTTGGGAAGCAATGGCGACAAATTCACCAGGCCATATCCGGAGGCACACGCTCGATTGTAGTGAACCACAGCGTTGAACGTGAAGTGGTGACTGTGGGACGAGATGGGACCATCATCTATCTGAAGCTGCCGTACGGCGGGCGCTCCACGGGCCGTCGCCGTCGCTCATCCTTCTTTGTAGAAGAGGCTGTGCCAGAGGCCAGATTTGTCTCGAAAATGCCTGCCCTATCTCGAATGGACCTGATGAGTAATCCTCCAACCTGGAGAGAGGAGCAGGCGGAGATGGCCTGGCGTAGCCAAGAGAAGGAGCTGCTCGCTACTCGCGATAAAGTTCGCGTAGGTGTTGAACTCCTCCGAGCAAAGGTTAAGATGATGTTGGACGAAAATGCTGAAATGGAGGAGATTGACCGGCTGCCAGAAAACGAGTTTGAGCTGGACCTTGACGAGCAGGCCCGACTCCAGGAGGAGAGTGAAGCAAGAGTGCAAAAAGCTAGGGCTGAGATCATCGACCAAAACGCTCGGAATGCTTACATCCGTGACCAGATCAAGAAACAGTGCTGGGACTCAATGGATGTGAAGGGCAAGGCCATACAAGGAATGATGGTAGAGCTGGAAGTCTCGAACTACCCCCTGCTAGCTCGCTCTGATGACTGCCGTATCGTTCTCGAAGGAATCCAGGAACGGCGTCAGCTGGAGCTAACGGAGATGGCTCTGCACAACGAGATGTTCGAACACAGCTCGACGACGGCTCAGCGGCCATCAATCGCTCCTGAGCCGCTGCTCGCCGCCACTGCATCACACCAGGAGGGTGCCGACTCGGCTGAAGAGCCCGCCGGTCATGGTACGCCAGTTGCTGATGAAGAGCCAGAATATCCCGACTCGGAGGACGGCGTGGTGCAGCAGGACACGACGCACACCGGCAGCATCAGTCACCAGCTGGGCGTCACCTCCCCGTGGCTGCTCTCCCAGTTCTGCATCACGTCCCGCAAACAGCGCGTAGAACAGATCTACATGCTACGAGAGGTGATCTATCAGCTCAAGATGAAGTTCAATGAGCGCTTCGAGGTGTTATACAATTCCAAATGCTCCGAAGTGCAGCGTATCACGGCATGGGCCGAACGGCTGCGCCACATATACTCGGAGCTGGGCATGAGTGAGACTCCGTGGGTGCCCCGCTGGTCCGCCGCCGAGCAGCCAGAGAGTCTCCTCACTGTCAGTGACGACGAAGTGACCGTAGAGCGGTACCTGACTCCAGCTGAGCGCGCCCGACTGGAAGCTCGTGCCGCTGAAGAGGAGCGACGACGACGGGAGCGCGAAGCCAACGACTTCCGGGAGCGTGCCATTCAACAGATGATGAACGGTGTTCTGGAGGTTCGCTGGGAAGACACGCTCAAGATAGATGTTCCGAAACCACCTTTCATGGATGAGAAAGACCCTGGGGAATGGAGTGATGAGGAAATCAAGGCCGCCGCCGAATATGAACGCAAAGTGGTCGCACTGGAGGAGGAGCGTGACAAATACCGCAAAATGCTAGAACAAGAGCTGAAAAAGCTGTTGGTTTCAGTACAGGAGACTGTGGACAAGTTTGACGACCAACTGAACCAACTGTTCGTTCTCAAGGTGCGAACTCAGCACGCCATCGATCAGGAGCAGCTGAAGGTGGACAGACTTCTTCGTGACGTGGCTGAAGAAGATCATCGAGTGAAGCGCGAGACTGAGCTCTGTCGACAAATGGATGCGACACAGCAGCGCAAGGTAGCGCTGCAGGCGGCGAGTGCTGACCTTCGCCGGGCGCTAGAGACGGCTCGCGCCGCTCACGAGCCGTTGGTGCAACAGGAGAAGCTGATGGAGCGCTCGTTCAGAAAGGAGTTCCCGGACACACCTACGCCTGTCGTGGACGTGCTGTTCCGATACTTCCGACGCCGGCCTCAGGTATTGCGTCGCTATTTGGACGCCACATTCCGGCGCGCCACCGTAGTGGACGAAGGCGTCATCGAAGTAGAGCACAGCCGGCGCCGACATAGCCGTCGCCGCAGCCGACATGGCAGCAGGTCTCCCGCTGCGTCAAATCGCGCTGACAGCACCTCCAAAGAGGTGCCGCAGACTGAGGAACAGCAGCAGCGCAAGGGGCGCGCTGCTAAAATCGCCTACCTGTCAGCGACGCATGCTGGAACACCATACGAGGAAAACAAGAAAACTGTGCCCGGGCAGAGGGTCATTCTGGAGGCCATGAAAACCATAGATGATGACTCTCAGCGCTCCGCAGACATCGACCTCCCACTTTGGCAGAAAATGTGTCAGCTCAGACTTGCCAAGGTCCTGGTTGAGTTCAAAGTCTTGGAATCAAACGCCCAGCTGGCTGTTCTGGTTGATTCGATCGAGAAACGTCGTCACGCCGAGGAAGCGCTGACGCTGACCACCCAGTCGCTGGTCGCCGAGCTCGCCGAGCTGAGAGAGCAGCGCCTGCGTCAGCTGCATGATCAAGAGATTCAGCTGGTCCTGAAACAGGGTCAAGTTGAGATCGACCTCGGAGACTTCTGCCCTGACTTCACTGGCTCGGCACTCATTCATCGGTCAAAGGTCGAACAGCTTAACAAGCAAATATTGAGCATTGGTGGCAAGAAGCTGGAAGTGATGCGCGACGCCTTACGCTTCCGTCGCGGTATCGTCCTTCAGCGCTGGGAGTATGACCGCTGCCGGATGATGCTGGAAGATCTAGTCAACAAGCTGAAAGACATTGACTTCATGAAGGTGACCCGAGCCATTCAGATGTACCTGGTACAGGGCGGCGACACCACAGAGAAGCAGATCGCCCGTCTGGAGAAGCGGCTGGACATGCTGATCGAGGACGCTGTCCGGCAGCAGAAGGAGGACGCCGACGCCGCCGAGTACCTGGAGCGACTGTTACGCATGAAGCGCGCCGACAACCAGCGACTGGCTCTGGAGGCCCGAGAGCTCAACGTCGATGTGTCCGAACGGGAGCTCATCTACGACATCCGCTGCAACCACCAGAGGAGATGGCAGGCCAGGGAGAGGCTCAACAACCTCCGGAAGATCCGCGATCTCTGCGATATCGCCGGATTCCAGCAGCGCTATATGGCGATGCTGCATAGAGAGCTGCAGCGCGTGTACTCGAAGACGTACCCTATGCTACATGCCATCTGAGGGCTGAAGTCGCTGGGTCGCATGCGGTCCACCAGAAGTGAAAAGGCACCCGTCGCAACGGTACTGATTATTAACGCGTCCGTCGTGTGTTTATTGTTAACCTAAATTGCAAGCCGTACAGCTGACGTTATCTGAATTAATGAGATTTGGATCACCGATGCATGGATTCTGTGGATGTGACCGGACACTGTGCGAGTGTTGGAGTTACCTGCGTACCGTATTGTGTGGAGCTGCACTGTCTTCTGCAGTGAGTGCACGTTGGAAGGTATCTCCCCGAAATAAACACAGTGTACTGTCAGCGTCGTATTACTTTGAGGGAAAAAGGACTACCGAGTATGATAATGGGACTGGCAGAGTGGGAAGATGGGGCTCGGATGTTGGGAGATGGAGCTAGAGCTGCAGCGGGATGGGCTGGGAGCGTCGGGCATGGAGTTGGGCTATGAAGTATGGGAGTTGGCTCTATTTGTGTGAAATGGGCTGGAGTGTGGGGGATGGCGCTAGAGATGCACTAGGGCGAGTCCAGTGATAGTGAGACAATGACGGACCCCTGACCCCGTCGTGCGTCTGGAGAGAAGGAAGGGGAGGGGACAGCTCAGCTGTTTGACACTGAATATTTAGGAGTGTGAGGGAAGGGGATACGGTGCATAGAGCATATGTCATCAAACCGTAGGTTCCACCTTAGGGCTGAAATTTGTACGTCATTATGTAGTGGATCTAGTGAAGTGTGAGGTTACATCATTTTACTCACCAATATTTTCTTTGAATACAGTGCGCGTGATATGAACTCCAGTATCATTAGTAGATACCCGAGGCCGAACACAATCCAAACCACCAGACCAATCTTGTACAGCCACAGCCAGGCGGACTCGTAATCAGAGCCACCTGCCTTGCCTGTGGAAACAGAGAGCGGCGGCAGTTGTATGGAATGAATATGCGTGAAAGCGAAAAGGTTCAACGTGTGCCCCGTGCGGCACATCCACCCCGAGACACGGTCTGTCTCCTCTGATCTGTGATCTTATCTCTACATACAGCATGCGGGACGGATTAGCCCGTCCGTCCGGCAGACCCACTTGACATCAGGTCACCACAGGGTCACCCACCAGGTCAGACGCACCTAGCGCCAGGTCACCACCAGCTCACACTCACCTGGCACCAGGTCACCAAACCCGATAGTGGTCAGGGTAATGAAGCTGAAGTAGAGAGCTTGCACAAAATCCCAGTCCTCCAGCATTATAAATATGCCTGCAACGAATGGTGGTCAAGCTTCGACATGGCGCGTACTAGTTATAACATACTTTCCCTTTATCATACATTAGGAGTAAACCGTATACTTTACTAACCTACGACATAAAAACTCAATTACGACAATATCGTACATCCTCCCTGCCGTGATCACGCGGTTAAAAATAACTCCATATTTAAAGAAATATGCCCTTGAGGTACTCCTCGCATATTTGAGCGACGGTGAAAATGCTACCACACGCACAAAAAGCGCACTTAGGAGTCATTTTCTTACTACCCAGTAAACATGCCGACGTCGGCCCGACGTCGGCCGACGTCGGGGTGACGTCGGCAACTCGGCATCGGCATGCCGACGTCGGCCCGACGTCGGTCCAACCTCGGCACGACGTCGGCTGGATGTCGGATATGCCCTCATGTTCCGACGTCCAGCCGAGCACTGAAAGAAAAGTACACCCAAAATTGGAATAATTTTACGGTGCCTAAATCTCCAACCCTAAGTGATCATTCTACTCCCCAGTGTAAACTGCTTTAACATGGGCGATTAGCGACTATTTTTACCACCGGGTATTATCAAATAACTCCCATGAGCTTAAAAATACACTTTCTCTGGAGTAAAAGTACGGTGCCTAAAACTCCAACCCTAGAGGAATAATTTTACACCCCGGTGTAGGGGAGTAAAACCGAATAAAGCATGCGATTTACGGGAGTAATACTGCACTCCCAGTGTAATAATATCAAATCAGATTTCACCCCCTGCTTCAGGGTGTAAAAACAGAAAACAGCATTTATACACCAGAGTAGAAAAAAGTTGAGAGAGTAAAAATAATTCACATTCTAATTCACGTTGAAACAAAAACTCAGAAAGATAATTCTATGACTGAAAAGTTTTAGAGTAAAATTACCCCGAGTTAAATATACACCACTATTTCAGTTTACCCTCTGGTGTATTTTTATGCCTACGCTGCAATGTAATGGTATATCGTCTGCTTATATATACTTTGCACCAAAGTTAATGGTGAAGTCAAACAGATGGCATGCAATGACCATTTCAGATAGTACATATCGTGTAACCATGGGATGTCAGATACGCTATGGTCAGGATACGCATTGTGAACGCGTTGTACGAGGGATCCGAAATTATGAAACCATAAAACAGTGATGTCTTCCAGTCGGTGCGATAAAACGTGATTGCTACCAATGTAATAGTAATTAAGAAAAATCATGTTTATCACATATTATGTATTGATCATAGTTCAATCACTCACAGTTCAATCACTCGCATCGATCTCGATGAGGTTGACTACGTTAAATCACAGACACATTAGTCACATACAGTAACAAACCACACAATCACCTTGGTCTATGTACAGGGTGGCGCACGTAAAACCCCCCCTCCCAGTGGGGCGCGGGTTAACACAATGTAGTTAGATACACATTTGGGATTATATTCTTCCAAGCTTTATGCAAATACGTTCACGTTCAGCTCAGTGTTGCACCTCGACGTGCCTCCTACCGTTTTTCATCGCTTTATCGAGGCGCTCGCGGTACGCCAGCGCTGCTTTCTAGCGCATCTCGACGGTGATCTCTGCAAAGGCGGCTCGGAGCCGACCTTGGAATTCCGGAATGTTCGCCGGCCGCGTTACGTATACCTACGACTTCACAAACCACAACATGAAAAATTCACACGTGGTGAGGTTGGGCTTCGCCTAAAGTGCCCTGACCATCGCACTCGCCCGACCTCACCACGCGTGTGAATTTTTTCACGTGGGGGCTTGTGAAGTCGAAGGTATACGTAACGCGGCCGGCGAACCTTCCGGTGTTGAAAGGTCGGATCAGAGCCGCCTTTGCAAAGATCACCGTCGAAATGCGCAAGAAAGCAGCGTTTGCGTACCGCGAGCGCCTCGAGAAAGTGATGAAAACGATAGGGGTCACGTCGAGGTGAACAACTGAGCTGTACGTGAATGGATTTGTCTAAGACTTGGATGAATATCATTCCAATTGTGTATCTACGCTGTGTGAAAATAGTATCTAATTCGGTTAAGAATGATGGAAGTCATTAAAGCCTCAAATCGGGTGTTTTGCGTGCGCCACCCTGTACTTTGTACTCTTGGCCCTTGAACATGAAAAACTTTGAAACATGAAACGCACGCAGACTACGCAGTATACACTCTTCGTGTGTGGGTCAGTGATAAATCTGAGCTTCCGAGTTCCGGCATGACATTTAGGGTGGCGTACCGCAATTGCCAGTATACTCGCACGCGCATCTTGCACTCTACTCAGCCAGGGAGCACACTACTTTCTGCGATGCTTTACTTAGTGAAATATTGATGATAATTATAGTTCGTTTTTCTTAAGTTCGACCCTCACTGTAAACGTCTCTTTGAACACAGCACGAAAATTGCTGGCTGGATTACTGAGAAAACTGGTTGGCGCACATTGATTTCACAGGTGATCAACTGTATCAAAATTATTTATATCTGGCTCCTACTTCCAGACTTGTAGCTCGTATTTGCCCATGTTTACAACCACACAAAGATGGACGACTTCTCAGGAATTATAACTTAACTAATTGATAAATCCTGCGGCGCTTAAAGGGACCCTCCCACCTTAACATTAGATTTGAGTTGAGATAGCCAAAATGGGGTCCCTGGCTCACAACTACCGGTTTCGGCACTCACAACATCGAGAAATGCCTGAAATCGGAAATATTGAATTTCAAAATTGCAGCATTTTGATTCAGAGGGGCTAATGCATAGGAATACCCCTCTGAATGTGTGACGTCAGCGCAGATATCTAACGATTTTTAAATGTTTGACTAAAACGTTTTGTAGCACGCGGTGGTATATGCTGCTTTGCGCGCAACAAGTGCCGCACTTTCAGCTGCCAAACTATTGCTTCCAAATAAAGTCGCTAGGAACCAGCCCCCGTTCACGAGCTCCAGAATCCCTTTACCGTTACGTCACCACGGCGGCAGAATCTCCCTTCACCCATAGGCATGCATGCAAATTTCATCATCTTTCGGGCGAGCTGGAGATAAAATCAAGGCTTATATGTCATCAAAAGATGTACCAATGTAACAATGAATTCGCCTCATTACGATAAATGGGACTGAAACTAAAAAAGTAGGACTATATCGAGCAAAAATTAGCAATTCAAATGACCCATTCATTTGAATATGAAGGATTTCCTCTGATTACGTTACCACGGCGCCTTTATTTCCCTAGTGAACCAACCTGAGTAGTAAAGGAATCTTGGCTAGGAACAGCGGAGATCCCAAAAAGTAAACAAAAGTAAAAGTCGAATATCTTGAAAACCGGTGAATATTTTTCGGTGAAATTTAGTAGATATTCGTTTTCGCTCTTTCTGAACCGAGCGACATCACTTTCATGCCAATTCATATTTTTTTTGAAGGTGGGAAGGGAGGGTCCCCTTAACATAACGGTACATCATCAGTGTTCACAACCTATTTTGAAAATATTATTCATACCTCTAATTCAATGTGCGCTAACCAGTTTTCTAAGTAGTTCAGCTAGCAATTCTCGTGCTGTGTTCAAACAGATGTTTACAGTGAGGGTCGAACTTAAGAAAAACGAACTATAGGGCTTTCTTGTAGAGCACCTCGAATAGGTACATATATGCTTGCATGGTCCACGGAACGGAAGACAAAACATGGGGGCATGGGCTGCAAGGATTGTGGCAACTTCACCGACCTTTGACTTTGACAGCTTAAAGTGGCCCAGTGCTCCCTGAACGTTGAGGCGGGACGACTGAAGAAGTGAACACTCACGGAGCTCTGCTCGTTCTTGAGATCGCCCAGCGTCCGTAGGCGAGTAGCGCCACCAGTTCGTCACCTGTGAGGAGGGAAATAAAGTAGGTAACTAGCAGTGATAGATTTCCCGACAAAGCGGAGCCCGGAGGATAAAAATCTGTGTGGGGTTACTTACTACCGTTGAAGCCTCAGCCCCTTGGGACCCGTCAGGAGCGCGGCTCGCTGCCCTCCCGTGGTGCAGCTGAGATATAAATTGACTGCATGTATTCACCGGTTCAGGATGCAATACGTAGATTTACTTTTACTGTTGAGTAAAGATACATCAGACATGTGTATACGGATAGAATCAAAATGACAAATCAGGTAAAGTTTAATTATAATTACGCATCTTTAAGTCATGAATGAATATAGTGTGCTAATTTCGCCGGGATCAGAGAGAGGCCAAAATGCCAACGCTTGTAGCTGGTCTGTGAAGACTAAGAGGGACATATATAAAGTAACCAATGACCCCGCAACCACCGTTCCCCCCACGCTACTCACACACTTGCTGGATGTTCTTGACGACTCTTTCCTTTAACTCATTTGGCTCCTCACTAGTCCCCATAATCAGGGGTCAGGTCGTGCCACGACTGAAATGGAAGGAAAACAAATATTGTTAGACGTGCTAGACGCATGTTAGCATGTTGGACGTCTGATATAGTAGGTAATACCCCTATAGCCTTTTAGGCACAATGCAGTCAATGATGGAATAATAATAAATACCAGAAAAAATGTTCCCGCTTGAATCGATAAGAAGTATGACTGTTAATGAAAATATTGAAAACCTTAAAACACCTTACCTAGTCAGGGACTTAGCCAAGGGGGGGGGGGGGTCACAGGGACCATGGTCCCCCTGATGGCCAAACATAAAATGAAATAAAGTAAAAAAAAATCAGCTGCACCACACACCCCGAAAATAGTGGGCGAAATCCGAAGTTTTCCTTTTTTGGAGGGGGTATAGGTACGACACCAGGCCGCGACCTGTGGCCCAACCTGAGCAAAATCCTGACTACGTGCCTGTACCTAGTCTTGCATAATTTTTATTAACCCGCGCCCCGTAGGAGGGGGATGGGGGTGGGGGCGAAACGGCCCCTCCCTGTCTTTTTCCGTGAATATCTCCTAAACGACTGCAGATATCGTCATCAAACTTTCAGAACCCCTCCGAACATCAATTTTACACATTGTGATCATT